GCAGGTCTCCAATATACAATTCCTTAAACCCCTCTTCACTCCTCCTTTTCCCGATCATCTGGGTCTTCCTTTTGTCTTTCCCGTGTGATCAATTTCCTCCATGCTTCCTCCAATCTCACACCCTAAACAATCCCCAATTCAGCCCCCACCTCTCAAGTTCCAATCTTTACTTCAAATGGCCGAAATCGTAGTCAAAATCCCTCGTTTCGGCCACAACCCAGTTGCCGGCTAGCCTCGATTTGCTCTCTTCTTCTTTCTTTTACCCCCTTTTTCTTTCCTTTCCCGCTCGAGACGAAATCATGTCTTCTTCCTTCATTCAATCGACCGGCTCGGCGTCCGCCGGGGCCGGGTTCAACATTCTCTTCGAGCACATCCTGAATGCAATTCTAAACGTGTCGAGGAAAAACACCATCTTCAATTCGACTTTCCAGCGGCTGGAGCAGACCTTGCGGTCCATGGCTCCAGCAATCAAGAAGATCGATTCGTACAACAGGGATTTCGACCGTCCCGAGGAGATCGATGGGCTGAAGGCGATTCTGCAAAAGGGTGCAGAGCTGGTGGAGAAGGCTGCAAAGATCAAGCGGTACGACGTGATGAGGAAGCCCATGTACTCGAGGAAGCTTCTCAAGCTGGAGGACAAGCTCAAGAGGTACAACACCACTGTGCTGCAGCTTCATCAGGTGGCGGACGGGAAGGAGATTCTGTTCGAGGTGAAGCAGCTGAGCAACCAAGTGCGGCAGATGAGCATGGGGGCGGCTGCAGCTGGTTATGGTTACTCGGGGGGAAGTTTTGGGGCGGTTGGAGGTGGGTTCTCATCGGCGCCTATGCTGAAAGTGGTTCCCGTTGGATTGGAGATTCCATTGAGGGAGCTGAAGAAGAAGATGGTGAATGATGAGGTTCCATTTCTGGTGCTTTCTGCTCCTGGGGGATGTGGGAAGACCACTTTGGCCACTGCGTTTTGCCATGATGCAGAAGTTAAAGGTACCTTGTTTTCTTTTCTTTACTTGGAACTTGTTGGTTTTGGACCACTTAATGGTGTGACCTGGGGTTTTCCTGTTTTGATTGTCTACGTTGTTGGTTGATTGGATGAAGGATATGGTGTTCGATTCTCTCACTTTTAATAGCACAAGCATGTGAAAGGGGATTTTTTGAGTTGCTAGATAGGCAAAGTAGACAAATCTTTGCTGCTGGGATCTTGGAAGAATATGTTTTTAAACCTTTTACAGGAAGTCATGAAGGAATTTGAAACTGAATCTTTCTTACTCCAATGGGGTTTGATACTTGGATTCTCTTACTTCCGATTGCGAAACTGCTTCCATAAGAAAGAATGTATTGAGTTACTAGATATGGTATTGACCAAAGTAGGCAAATCTTTTTTACACTGGGGTCTTGGAAGAATATGTTTTTTAACCGTTTATAGGAAATTATGAAGTGAAAAGGTGAATCTTTCTTACTTAAAAGGGAGCTTTGTGTATTGACTATATTTATCCTTTCTCGAACTATATTATGCATCTAGTTAAAGCTCTAGGTTGGAGTATTGTTATGCAGCAGATTTTCTCTCATTTTTGTTGGTATTGTCCAAAAATGGAAAATGCTACTACTCGTGGACTTATTTGCACTGCAACTGGTGGCTTTTCCCGAGATATTGTAGTATTATGTGCAGCACTTCAAATTTGGTCTCTCTTCCCTTTTCATTTTCGATGTACAGAACTGGAAAAGTTATGCTACTTCTGAAGTTATTAGATGTGTTTTATGACTGCGGACAGTTAGGTATGAGGACAACATCATCTATATAACCGTCTCGAAAGCAGCCAACCTACTGACGATTGCACAGAATATTTTTCAGCGTTTGGGTCGTCGGGTGCCTGGGTTTCAAAGTGAAGAAGATGCAGTCAACAAACTTGAATGCTTGATCAAGGATATGGATGGAAAGCCTACACTTTTGGTTCTTGATGATGTCTGGTCAGGATCAGAGTATATTCTCGAGAAGCTCTACTTTAAGATGATCAATTACCAAGTTTTGGTCACCTCTAGAGATGAGTTCAAATCATTCGGCTCTACGTACAAATTACAGACGTTGAGTGATACGGATGCCATGGAACTCTTTCGTCAGTCAGCTTTCCCTCAAGAGGGGAACTCGTACAAGCCAGATCAAGAAGTTCTGGAGAAGGTATGTTCCTCACTGGCAATCATGGATGTGTATTTTGCCACTGAATTACAATGAATAGCAGAAGATTATTGATTTGCTTTGTGCTTTGCAGATAGTGAAAAGCTGCAAGGGATTTCCACTACTGATTTCTGTGGTGGGGAAATCCTTACTCAGGAAACCTGCAGTGGAGTGGCGCAAAAGAGCCAAGGAATGCTCAAAGACTGCTTCCTTCCTTGAGAACTCAGAGGTACTTGACTGTCTCCAGAAGAGTGTAGATGCCTTGGATAATAAACAATCAATCAAGGAGTGCTACATGGATCTAGGGTTGTTCCCTGAGGACAGAAGAATTCCTGCCACGGCCCTCATCGAAATGTGGGTAGAATTACATGGTCTGGATGAAGATGATGCTAGTTATAACCTCTATGAACTCTCTTTCCGGAATCTAGTTGACCTTGTAGTCATCAGGTAATTTGAACACCCATCCCTTCCAAAGTGTTATCCTTTATCATTGGTTTATTAGTGTATTCATGTGATTCTGGCTTTGTTGGATTCAATATTCAGGAAAGATGGAAGTGAAGATGATGGCTTCCACAATGAGGATTTCGTGACTCAGCATGATCTGCTGAGAGATTTAGCAATCCGTCAAAGCAACTCTGCTAGCTTTCAGATCGCAGAAAGACTTTTTGTGGAAATAACAGGCAACATTTTCCCTAAGTGGTGGACAGAAAGCACAGAGAAAGTCTTCAAGGCCAAACTCTTAGCCATTACCACAGGTTATTCATCTGCATAATCATTTAAGCTATTCTCAACTTACCTTCGCTTCAAGTTCATTATTATTAAATATGAATGCATATCCTGCAGACGAGAACTTCACATCAAGTTGGCCTGACATACATGCTCCTGAGGTAGAGGTATTAGTTCTGAACTTCAAGGCCCAGGCCTATGGCTTACCTAAGTTCATTGAAAGAATGCAGAACCTGAAGGTTCTAATAGTTACGAATCACGGGTTGTGTCCTGCTGACGTGAGTGATATCCACCATGTTGCTTCTCTACCCAATCTAAAAAGAATTCGGCTCGAAAACACCCTGATTCCACCAAATTTCCTGCCAAGCATTGCATCAGGGACAATACAGAAGTTATCTTTGTTCATGTGTAGTGTTGGTCAGGCCTTTAGCAATGTAATCCTTCAGCCAAATTCTTTCCCAGACTTGGAAGGGATTGACATAGACTACTGCAGTGATTTGATGGAACTACCAGTTTGGTTCTTCAATCTAGCCCAACTGAAGAAGCTTAGCATCACCAACTGTCAAAGCCTGTCTGTATTGCCAGAAGAGCTCGGGAACTTGGTGACTTTGGAAGTGTTGAGGCTTGGTTCATGTATCGAGTTGTCAGAGTTGCCAGAGTCGATTGGGAACCTTGTAGGGTTGAAAATTCTGGACATATCATACTGTGCAAGCATAAAGAAGTTGCCTGAACAAGTTGGTGAGCTCTGCAACCTAAGGAAGCTCTACATGATAGAATGTGATCGGTGTGAAATACCGATGTCGGTTGCTCAACTAGGCAACCTGGAGAAAGTAGTAGGGGATGAAGAAACAGCAAACTCATGGGAAATCTATAAGACTGACATTCCTGGTTTGAAGATCACCAAGCATAAACAAGTCAGCTTAGACTGGCTTCACTAGTTCCCCAATTGTCAGTGGACTGATGTCATGTATCTGTATTTAAGTTTTTTCTTAGACTCTAAACATTAATTTTCTTGACTGGATGGAGGATAAGTTTTGTTACAGAAGTAGAAAATGCATGCGATTTTGAGAATCAGGCACCAAGCCTACTAAACTATTAGACAGTAGCAGCACAAACTTGTCTATTTGGGAAATTTTAGTGTAAGATATATGTTGTGCGAATTTTTTTAGCAAGTTTGATATTTTGGGGAAATTTTTCATTCTATGAGAAGTTGTGTTTGAGTTCGCGTGAATAAAGTATGGTCCAGTACACTCCTTGTTGCAAGGACATGCGGGCGAACCATTAGAACCATCAATACCGCCGGTCAATTTTCTAAAATGAATCGTATTATTTTTCACGGTTGAACATGAAATTGAATGAACTAGTCTAATTTGACTGGTTCACTATTTTAATCATAAAAACTATTTAAGAAAAAAAAATTTAAAATAATGTAAACTTAGACCATCTAACCCTACTAACTAATTTAATCGATCCACTACTTAGTAAAATACGGTACGAGAAAGTTACGGATATAATACGTACGGGTATTTTACTTCATTTCTAAGCTAATGTTACGTTTAATAGTACGTTAATAGTCATAAATATATAAAATAAATTATTTTTAAAAATAAATAAATATATAAATAATAGTAAAGTTAACAATTTAATTCATTAAATACGGATATAAAACGTGTTATACGGATTTTATACGTGTTTAGTACGGGAGCCACCAAATGAACGGACAAAAATGAAACGGCTTGACAAAAATACGGATACGGAAGTTTTAAACGGATAAAGTACGTACGGGTACATATACGTGTATTAAACGGAGTATTTACTAACTATGCCGATTGCCACCTCTAATCAAAAATCAATTTAAGAAAAATTTTGTATGATTTCTTTGTTAAACAATTTGAATGTTCTATTAGAACTTCTGGTGGTAGATGATACGAATTTGAAATTATTTTGATTAGTAACAACTTCAATACTAAATTAGTGTTATGAACAATTTATACATCTTTGATTTTATCGATTATGAACAATTTTACGTATGATTAACCAACAATACTCTAATAGTTAATCACTAAATCGTAAACTACTCACATTTCCGGTCCCGAAAATAGATAGTACAGTCAATACGGTATAGGTGTACAAATTACAATATAGTCAAGGAAAGGGAAATTGCATTGCGGTACTAGCGTGCACGTCATTGTTATGATGCAACCCACAAATCGTAACCAATGTAAAACAGATGGATAGGAAATGTACTCTTTTCCTTTTTTAATCTTTTTTTGTCGACATGGTGCGTGACTGCGTGAGTCTCGTTGTCTTCTTTCTTACGGTCTCGTCTCGCTCGGGAATCAGCAAATCAGGGGAGCGACTTCCTGGAAAGAACAAGAGAAGAAGAAGACTCTGCTCAATCACCCTCCCTGCAATAACAACTGGGGGAGACAAGACGAATTGCCTGTTCAGAAAGCAGCAGGAAGCCACTCTCAAACTTCCGAAACATCCCAGCAATCGCAAATCCTTGGATTCACAGCCGCTGAAGCAACCAAGCAGCAGCAGCTGCTGCAACTGCCCATTTCTTAGGTTAGTTAGTTCTATGAGGTATGAAAATTCGATTCCAGTTTCGGCGATAAAAGCACCAAACTTTCCTGACATTGACTCAGATTTATCCCTCTTTTAGGTTTTGGGTCGTCTCTATCTTCCTCTTTGCTTTCCATGTCATGCTTACACATTCCCCACTTGAGTTCCTTATCAGCTGAATTCCTTGACTTTCTTCCTCCTATCTTAGCAACTTCTGCAATAGCGAGGTAGCAACTGTCCATAAATGGCTGCCCTGTCTTGTTCTTTCTTTAACTATGAAAAAGCCAAAGTCTTCTAGGAAGGTAGAGTCAACTTTACACAATTACTTAACGATGAAATTTCCTGGTAAAGCCAACAAATTCTTTCTTTAGGACTGTTGGTATGGATGAGAGGATATAAGTATGACCTAACCACCCTAGTTTTAGCAGTCAGATACTTAGATCTTTACTTCAAATTTGTGTCACCCTCTGCGAAAGAGAAGTAGCAATGGCAGCTTCATTCGTGGGTGGGGCAGCTCTTGGAGCTGTGTTAGGGGAACTCTTGAGAGCGGTTGTGAAGGTCCAGAGAAAGACCCTTATGTTCAAACGTATTCTAGAGCGCCTGGAATCCACTCTAGAAGACATTATCCCTACAGTTGAAAAGATGGAAGAGATGGACAAAGTACTGGATCGAAACAATGGAGAAGTTGGGAAGTTGATAAAAGTGATTCAGAGAGGGAAAAAACTTGTTCTTGAGTGTTCTACGATCAGGTGGTGGTATGCTTGCTGGAGAAGGCCAAGGTATGCGGACAAGCTTCTTGGACTGGAGAAGTCACTCAAGGCGTTCTGCCAGATTGTTCTCCAGGTCGAGCAGTCGAGGGACACAAAAGAGACATTGTTGGAAGTCAAAGATATGCACCAAAAAGTTAAGCGCCTGATTCTGAATGGAAAGAGTGGTGGTATTATCAACATGCCTGCTGTTTTGAGTGGCTTTCATGTCCCTGAGGCAGTTGGCAACCCTGTTGGATTGGAGGTTCCCTTGGGGGAACTGAAGATGGAAGTTTTGAAGGATGAAGCATCCTTGGTCATTCTGTCTGCTCCTCCTGGTTGTGGGAAGACTACGTTGGCTAAACTTTTCTGCAATGATGAGGAAGTTCAAGGTACCATTTAATACTTATTGTTGTTTTATTTGTGTGTTTGTCGTTTCAACAAACATAATCATATGTTTTGATATTTGATAAATACGTATTTGTCTCTCTGTTAATAAATCGGTCCAACCAATTATTGGTTAAGGTAGATCCATTCTTTAATAAGTACAACTTTGATGCTCGGATGTCGTGTGTGCGGAAACTTCATGCTCTGACCCTTAATTCAACTTTCATATTCCTAATATCCTCTCTTTTTCTAAGATAATAAGGTATAAAATATGTATGTCCTACATATGTGCCATTTGAGGCATCATACCACACCAATAATAGATGTCAACCAAAGCTTCAGCTGAAGAAATGAATAACCGAAATAATGAACGAGTTCGAGTCCTAATGGATAGTCATGTGTCTTAGAATGCTGCTCATCCTATGTCTGAAATACAAGTTTGATGTTGATTTAATAATATTTTCAAATCTTTAATGTGTCTTTATGTTGAATGCTGTGCAGACATATTCAAGGGTAATATCTTCTTCATCATTTTGTCAAGGAAACCTACAATTGAAGGCATTGTTCAGAGACTGTTTCAGCATCACGGTTATAAAGTTCCGAACTTCCGAAGCGAAGAAGATGCAGTGTTGCACGTGGAAAAATTCCTGAAGAACATAGGGCCTGATCCTATTTTGTTAGTTCTGGATGACGTTTGGCCAGATTCAGCTTCGCTTCTTGACAATTTTCAGTTTCGGATTCCTAGTTACAAGATATTGGTAACATCAAGATCAGTATTTCCTCGATATGGCTCAACTTACAAGCTGAGTCCGTTGAACTATAGCAATTCCAGGACGCTTTTCTGCAACTCAGCATTCCTTCCGGGCCAAGACTCTGTTATTCCTGATGAAGTTGTGAATCGGATCGTCAAAGGATGTAAAGGATTCCCATTAGCCCTTAAAGTTGTTGGCAGATCACTTTGTGGAGAGCCAGTTGATATCTGGAAAAAGAGAGAATCGGAATTATCAAAAGTTGGTTCCATTCTCGAGTACAGTGATCTGCTCTTCTGTCTTCAAAGAAGTCTAGATGCATTAGACAACACTCCCATTATCAAGGAATGTTTCAAAGACTTGGCTTCATTCCCTGAAGACCATTTGATTCCTGCAACTGCCTTGATTGATATGTGGGCTGAACTGTATAAACTCGATGAACATGGCCTCCAAGCTGTTTCCAATCTCCATGAACTCTCATCAAGAAACCTGGCTGATCTTGTAGTAACAAGGTCCGACTCAAATGGCTACAATCAGCACTTTTTGACACATCATGATCTTCTCAGAGAGCTAGCTATCCACCAGACTAACTTGGAGACCTTTGAACAAAGGGAAAGACTCATTCTTGAGGTAACTGGGAATGATGTTCCTGACTGGTGGGTGGAACAAAAGCAGCTTAGGTTTCACAGCCGTCTCATGTCTATCACCACAGGTTAGCTTCTTTGATCTCTTACTTGCATTCCGTCTTTTCTTTACGATGAAACTTATAGTTGAAGGAACTGGAACTTTAAATGAAAGGAGTATTATTTGAATTTCTAATTACGAATCAGCTAGTTGACATCAGTTGAAGTCTCCATTTGCTCAAACAATCAACTTCTGAATCAAATACTGTCCAATTTCTATTATCTACCTCTAAAATCTAATTTAAAATGGATTTGCACTCCACCTTACCTCATCTTTTCTATACTTCCAATTTTACCTTTTCCTTCTAATAAATCCAAAACCATGTAGGGCCATTTTAGTCAATATACACAGGACTCACATTTAATGAGCTTCACTATTTGCTTCAATTAACAACTTCTCCAATAAGCATGAACTTAATTTCGCAGCTTGTTCTGTTAAAAACTTGTTTTGCCCTCTTAATAACATTGTGGTTGATAATATTTTGCAGATGAAAGGTTCTCAAGAACCTGGTGCAACATCCAAGCACCAAATGTTGAAGTATTAGTGTTGAATTTTCGGACGAGAAGCTACACATTACCCGAGTTCATAACAGGAATGGATAACCTAAAGGCTTTAGTTATCACGAATCACGGCATTCTCCCAGCTGAACTGACAAACTTTCCACTTCTTGGTTCTCTTTCCAACCTGAAGAAGATCAGACTAGAGAAAGTCTCAATTCCACCATGTGGGTTCACGTCGACACGGTTCGAGAAGCTTGAGAAGATAAGTTTGGTCCTTTGCCATATTGGCCAGGCTTTGACTTCCTCATCCAACCTTGCTATATCAGAAGCACTTCCAAATCTGATGGAGATCAACGTTGACTACTGCAACGATCTGGTAGAGTTGCCACCGGAGATCGGTCAGCTTGCCGAGATGAAAAGGCTAAGAATCACTAATTGCCACAACTTGACTGCACTGCCTAGAGAAATCGGCGGGCTGGTGAATTTAGAGGAATTGAGAATTAGTTCTTGCATAGAAATTTCTGAGCTGCCTGATTCAATTGGAAACCTTCACAAACTGAGCAGCCTGGATATCTCGGAATGTGCAGATATCAAAAGACTGCCTGAACAGATTAGGGAGCTGCAGAATCTACGGAGGATTCAGATGATGGGTTGCTCAAAAGACTTCGAGTTGCCGGAGTCGATCTTGAATCTCGAGCATCTTGAGGAAGTGAAGTGTGATGAAGAAACTGCAGGTGTATGGCAACCTTTTGTCGGTTTTCTTGAGAATTTGACCATTAAGGTTAATAAAGAAGACATAAATTTGAACTGGCTCAATGGTGGTCGTTTCTGATTTTGTCAAGCCAAAAAAAGTTCCCCTCAAATTGTGTCGCAAATCCACTTCCCCTTGCCCTTGAGCAACTGATATATTAATAGATGAGAGTAGCAAGTTACCCCCAATCACTATTCAGTTAGGGGTAAACTGCCGTGCATGCATCCACACGGAACAATTCCGTGGTTGCTTTCGTTGATGAGTTATATTGCTGCCCAATTACTTCTGGCCATTGATGTTCTTGAAGGGCAGCTCCCCAAGTTTAAGGCTCATATGCCTATTGAGTGTGTGTTAAGTGATAAAGCAAGTTACTCAGATCCCTGTTCATTTGAGGCTATACTATGGCATATGTCTATTGATTTTTTCTAAGGAGTTTATCAGGCGATGGGCTGCCCATCGATTTACCTACGACCTCCTTTAATCTCCGAGGCAATGAAATATAGAGCAGTGAATGAACTTAAAAATGGTTCTGATTTCCAGGATGAGCTATTGCAATGGATGCCTAAGAATCTCTTATTTCCTTGAAGTTGAGCTTTGAGCTTTTCACATCCAGAATCTTTTCTTTTCTTCCCCCTCTGACCTTTACTCTGTAACAGTGGGAGTAATCTCTTGTAGTATGGACGTGTCAAATGTCTCCAAGCATCAGATTCCACTTGGAAAGAACATTGCTGTAACATCACAAGTAAAGAAAGATTCCCAAAGCTTAGAAAAGAATCCAGGTAACCAGTTCCTCTGCTGATTCGTTACCAACCTTTTTTATGTGGATGGAAATATCACCTTTTTCCTCTTCCAAACCTGAGAACTAAGACGGTGGGCAAAGGGTTGAATTTCTTGTATTTGATCTCCTTTCTCCATAAGGAATTGAGCTATGGAAGAATCGCTTCAAAACGCTTTCGTCGGAGCTGTGATGGGAGAGCTGTTGGGAGCAGTTCTGGATGCCCAAAGAAAGACAGCAGAGTTCAGAACTGCGCTGCAACGCATCGAAACCACTCTCAGAACCATAATTCCTTTGGTCCAGGAGATCGAGGAGCTGAACGAGAAGCTGGACAGGAAGAAGGAAGAGACTGCACCGTTGATGGAAGAGATCACCAGAGGTAAAGACCTCGTCGTTAAGTGTTCGAGACTTCGGTGGTACACCTGCTGGAAGAAGCCGGGTTACAAAGACAAATTGGACAGCCTGGAAGGCTCCCTGCAGAAATTCTGCAAGATCATTCTGAAGCTCCAGCGGGCGCGGGACACTAAGGAAGCCCTGGTAGAAATGAAGAATGTTCAACTGATTCTGGATGGGAAGTCTAGTGGGATAGTAACTGGTCTGAAAGGGTATTTCGTTCCCCAATCTATTCCGAATCCTGTTGGCTTTCAGGTTCCATTGAAGGAACTGAAGCTGGAGCTTTTCAAGGACGAGACTTCTCTGCTTGTTTTGTCTGGGCCTCCTGGCTGTGGGAAGACCACTCTGGCTACTCTCTTCTGCCATGACAAAGATGTTCAAGGTAAAACTGCTACATCAATAATTGATTTTGTTCATGTCAGGCCAAGGTTCGACTGTGGTTAACGGTTTTTTGTTGCAGAGAGATTTGGGGACAACATCTTCTTCATCGCTGTGTCGGGAAGACAAACGATGGAGGGCGTCGTCCAGAGACTGCTCCAGCTCAAGGGGCGCAGAGATCGTATGTTTGGAGGCGAAGCAGACGCTCGCCACCACCTGGAGAAGTTCCTGAAGAGCATGGAGCCAAGTCCCATATTGTTAGTTCTGGATGATGTTCGGCCAGAGACAGGTTTCCTCCTTGAGAGAGTGAAGTTTGACATCCCTGGTTACAAGATCCTGGTAACTTCGAGATCGGAGTATCGCAGATACAAGAACTACAAGCTGAACCCACTGAATGAAGAAGACTCCAGGACGCTTTTCTGCAACTCAGCGTTCCTTCCGGACCAACCAGCCCCCGACGTTCCAGATGGTATTGTTAATCAGGTAGTTTAATTTTCTTCTTGTGATTCCTGGGGGAAGGAAATGTATCACTTCTTGAACATATTTTCTGATGTGAAATTTGTGCAGATAGTAAAAGTGTGCAAAGGAAATCCACAAGAGCTAACAACTGCTGCTAGATCACTTTGTGGAGAGCCTGCTGAAGTTTGGAGAGCGAGAGCCATGGAGTTAGCAGAAGGTGGTCATGGCCGGTATGGCTGGTAGTAATGATCTGGATGATCTTAATGGGATCTGTTGTTGACGACTAGCTGCCTAAGTTCAAGGCTAATTGATTAATAAAAGTGTCATAAATCTTTTCATGTTTGTATAGAATGTGTTTAAACTTTAAATTTTTGTTCAATATATTATATAAATTCGCCTTCCGTAGTATCGTACTCTAACATATTCAATAAGTCCTATTACATAATAAATTTTTTTTAATATCCATTTAATGTTTCAAGATATACTAAATCTTTTTTTAAAATCTCGTTTTTTGATTATGAAGTGTCTCATTTTCCCCAATATTTGTTCAATGCTTCATGTACTACACATAATGGATATACACATCATAAGAAATTAAATCGATAAATTAAAACTTTACGCATATTTATATTTTCATCAATAAAACCTCATACGTATTAACAGAGCAACATACTTGTTGAAGACCCAAGAAGTGAGTTTCTATTATTCCATCAGTGTATTTATAGTACAAAGCAGCAGGGAGTTGCTGTATACAAGGAGTGAAATAAGGAACTGCCCATGGTGGCAACGTTCCACAAATAACAACCTATTAACAACAACTAACAGAACTAGAGTATCTTGAGGAGCAAGTTCCTCTTCACGCCCCCGCAAGTGAAGGCTCTGTGAGCCGGAACTTGGAACAAAATTTGTTGAAAGACTGCCTTGATAACGGTTTTGTCAATACGTCCGCTAGCTGGTCTGGAGCCGGTAAGTAATGAACACGCAGCTGCCCTTTGCTCACTTGATCACGAACAAAATGAAACTCTATTTCCATGTGTTTGGACCGATTATGAAACACCGGATTGTGCGCAAGAAACGTGGCACCAAGATTATCACACCATACAGTCGGAGCAGTGGGTATAGATTGGCCAAGTTCATGCAGTAAAGTTCGGAGCCAAATTACCTCAGAAGCAAGCGTGGCAAGGGCACGATATTCACATTCTGTTGATGAGCGAGCGACTGATTTTTGCTTGCGAGTGGACCAGGACACTACATTGGCACCACAAAATACTGCAAATCCCGTGATGGACTTGCGGTCTTTGGGACAGGAGGCCCAAGACGCATCGGAATATCCGTGAACATGAAGGGAGGAAGACTTGGTGAAGACAAGGCCACGATCCAGAGTACCGCGAAGATAACGGAGGATTCGTTTGACTGCAGCCCAGTGGTTATCCGTCGGGGAGTGTTGAAACTGTGAGACGTGATTGACAGCAAAAGAAATATCTAGCCGAGTAAAGCTGAGATATTGTAGCCCGCCGACGATACTACGATACTGCACAGGATCAGCAAATAGCGGTGAGGAATCCATAGCCGAGTTCTGAATAATATCACTGGTACAGGGAGTTGAGATGGCATTGGCATTGGACATCTTTGCACGGTCAAGAAGATCATTAATAAACTTGCGCTGCTGAAGAACAAGACCAGTAGAGGACCGATGAACTTCAATACCAAGAAAATAGGATAAAGGCCCCATCTCCCGGAGGGCAAAGTTCTCACGAAGAAAGGCAAACAGCCGTTGAATAACAGAGGCATCATTACCCGTGATGACTATATCATCCACGTAGACAAGCATATACAATCGAATGTCACCGGGCTTGTAAATGAAGAGCGACGGATCGGTGCGGGACACAGAGAAGCCGAACCTGGATAGAGCAGCAGCAAGGCAGTGAAACCAAGTGCGAGGGGCCTGTCGAAGCCCGTAAATAGATTTCCGGAGGCGACAAACATGGTCTGGTTTGTCCGGATCAACAAAACCAGGGGGCTGCTGCATATATACAGTTTCCTGCAACTCACCATGTAAGAATGCATTAGCAATGTCAATTTGATGAAGCGGCCAGCTTTGAGTAACAGCAAGGCCGAGAATCAGCCGCAGAGTAGCGGGCTTCAGAACCGGGCTATAAGTTTGTTGAAAGTCAAGTCCCGGTATTTGTTCGAATCCACGAGCTACAAGCCGGGCACGGCGTCTGTCTAAATGACCAGTGGGAAGAAGCTTGGTGCGATAAACCCACTTGTTGGATAGAAGGTTGCAATTCGGCGGCCGAGGAACCAAATCCCATGTTTGATTTCGTAGTTGAGCGGTAACTTCCTCTGCCATAGCCGCGCGCCACAGGGGGTTTTTGAGAGCTTGAGTCACCGTTGTGGGGGTATCATCAGTATGGTGGTGGGGAAAAAGTGCTTTAGGCTTGAGGTTGCCAGTTTTAATTCTGGTGGTCATGGGATGTGTAGAAGAGGTGGGATTAATGATAGGAATGGGTCGAGGGGAAGTGTTGAAAGGAGGCCGATTCGGTGGCGGGCGACGAGGAGGGAGAGGGGTGAAACGAGGAGGGGGAACAGAAGGGGAGGTGGGTTTGGTTTGGACAATGGAAGAGGGAATCGGAGGGCGGCGGCGCTGGTACTGAATTAGTGGTCGAGGGGGAGCAGGGGAAGGGACGATGGGTGGGGAAGGAGGGTTTGGCGGGCCGGGTGAGGGTAAAATGGGATTGGTGGGCTGGGAATCTGATGGGCTGGGAGATGTCTTATGGGAAGAGGGGGAAGGAGACGGATTTAAGGAACGGGCCGGGCTTGTCGAAGCGTGGGTTGGAGGTGAAGATTGGGCTGGGAATTTTGCGGGGGGAGGAGGTGGAGCAGGTAACAAAATAGGCATGGCCGAGTGTGTAGGAGAGAGGGCATCCTTGACCGGGGACACATCAGCAAAGGGGAAACAATTCTCATCGAACAGAACATGGCGGCTAACATAAATTCGGCCGGTGGGAATGTGGAGACAACGATAACCCTTGTGAAGTTTACTGTAGCCTAAAAAAACACAAGGAACAGAACGAGGGGACAACTTATTTTCGGTGAGAGGGCGAAGCCAAGGATAGCAGAGACACCCAAAAACACGAAGATTTGCTATGTCGGGAGATCGATGGAAAAGAAATTGAAAGGGGGATTCATGTTGAAGAAGCGGAGTTGGAGTGCGATTGATGAGATAACAGGCGGTGTCAAAGGCAAGAGGCCAGTATTTAAGAGGAACACTGGAATGGTGAAGAAGGGCAAGCCCGTTATTGACGATATGCCGATGTTTACGTTCGGCACAACCGTTTTGTTCAGGAGTATATGGACAAGAGGAACGGTGGGCGATGCCATGTTGAGAGAGGTAAGCAGATAATGCTTGATATTCGCCACCCCAATCAGATTGAAATGACTTGATGGGAAGGCCAAAATATTTTTCAACGAGTTGACGGAATTGAATGAATACATTTAGGAGTTGGGACTTATAACGAACAAAATAAATCCACGAGAATTTGCTGTAATGATCATAGAAAAGGATGTAATAGGATTGATTATCGTAGGACAAAATAGGCGCGGGGCCCCATACATCACTGCAAACTAGTTCAAGCGGAGCATTGGCACGAAACATGGATGGAGAAAAGGGGAGTTTGTGAATTTTACTGACAGCACAACCATGACAAAGAGAAGCAGGGGAAGATGTAAACTTTATTTGATTTTGATGGAGAAGGCGTTTAACTGCTCGTTCATGAGCGTGACCAAGACGAGGATGCCAAGTATCGAAGGAGGCGGCACAAGCAACAGGAGAGAGACTGCGAGAGATGGTGAGAGGCAGAGAGTAGAGGCCATCTACCGCATAACCGCGATGAATTTCACGCCCCGTGCGTCGGTCCTTGATAAGAAACAAAGAGTCAAAAAATTCAATAGACACGGGATTAGAACGAGTAAGGGAGCTGATTGAGAGAAGATTATACGGAGCTTGACGCACATGAAGGATATTATCCAATGAAATAGAAGTATCGGATAAAGAAGCAGTGGAAGAACCCAGACGAGATATGGGAAGAGAGTTACCATTGCCAAAAGTGACTTGATCGGGCCCATTATATTCCGAGTGATGGGCCAAATTGTCTAAATCCGATGTGAGATGATGATTTGTGCCCGAGTCAAGGAGCCATTGAGATGGGTTGAAAGATTGGGCTGGGGATGAGGAAAAATGAGCATGTGGGCCTGGCGAAGGATGGGCCGAAGTGTACAGAGGGGCAGGGGCAGTGTAATGGGGTTGATGGGCCGAATTAGTGGCAGCAGCTGGGCTAGGGCATTGCGGTCTCTTGTGTCCACGACCCCCACAATTATGACAAACAACTCCGTTGGGCCGAGGCCCAAGCAAACCTCCAGAGGGCGGCCTGTAAAACGAAGAAGCAGCAGGGTTAGGAGCATAGGAACGATCGCGAGAGAACCCCCGTCCTCGACCACGACCACCGCGACCACGGTAGCCGCCGGTGGTGGAGAAAAAAGCACTCGGCGCCGGAGACTCAGATCGGACAGCGTAGCGCTGCAGCTGGAGCTCCTCGCTCAATAGCAGTGAGTGAAGATTTTCAAAAGAGATGGGCTCCAGACGAGCCTCGATGTGGCGCACAAAGGGCCGATACTCCTCACCCAAGCCATCGAGAATCCAACCAGTAAGATCATCATTGGAAACAGGAGAACCCAGGGCGGCCAACTGATCAGCTTTGGACTTCGCATCCTGAAGATAGTCGTGAATGGAAGCGTCACCGCGGCGAATGTGTTGAAGCGCTTTGCCGAGATGCCGAACTTGGACATGAGACCCGGAAGCGTAAATAGTGGCCAGCGCAGTCCAAGCATCGAAGGCGGCAGCTTTGTTGACAACGTTGGGTAACACTGCCTCAGAAAGAGAGAAGTTGATCCAAGTGAGTACGTATTGATCACGTACATACCACGACCAATACGCGGGATTGGAATGACCGTCGATGAATTGCGGTGGAGCAGCAAGAGAACCGTCGACATGGCCCATTAATTGATGGCAACGGAGAAGAGGGGTGATTTGTGCATGCCATAACAGATAGTTTGTAGGAGTAAGCTTAATGGAAAGCTGAGGATTAGCTGGCAGAGAGATCGAGAGAGCCGGCATAGAGACAGTGTCGCCGGAAGAAGAAGAAGAAGAAACAGAGGATGAGGAAGATGATTCAGTAGCCATTCTGGGCTTGAAGAAAGAAGGAAAGCTGGGCAAATAACAGAGAAAGGAGGAAATGACTCGTTAGAGTTTTTAGGGCTCTGATACCATGAAGACCCAAGAAGTGAGTTTCTATTATTCCATCAGTGTATTTATAGTACAAAGCAGCAGGGAGTTGCTGTATACAAGGAGTGAAATAAGGAACTGCCCACTTGTAACGTGTTTTACTAACTCATATGTTAGTTCCTTGCTCTCCCTGATACCGATAACTCAAATTCGAGATTTCTACTTAGCTTACCAGGCTGCCCAGCTAATTACCTATTAGGCCTATTGATTGCTTTGATCTCCAAGAAGCTAGGCAATGAAATAAATCCCCATTGAATGATGAACATAACATAGAAAAAGAAATGGTTATGGTTTGCAGAATTTCAGGAGGTGGATTATCTACAGGAAGTTCAAAGAATCCCTTTTCGCTTTGAAGCTGAGCTTTTCTCGTCAAGAATCTTTTCTTTTCCTTTTACCCCCACTCTGGTTTGCTATCTGCAACAGTGTCTGCACACGCGAAATGTCCAAGCATCAGATCATGCTTGAACTTTCCTCCATGTATGGCCCCGCAAGAAAGAGCAAAGCCCTTTAACATCCATGTCAAGAAAGATTCCCAAAGCTTAGAATAGAATCCAGTACTTTACCCATTTCCCATCCTCAAAGGCCAACCTTTAGAACAAGAGAACACCCAATATATGATATGTCCTCCTAAAACTCAGAACTAGAGGGGAAGCAAAAAGGGGGTTTGGAGTTCTTGTCAGAATTTTCCTTTCTCTGATCTTCTTTTCTATTCTGCAGACAGAGTCCAGGCTATGGCGCAAGTTGTGCAGGATGCGTTCATCGGAGCTGTGATGGGAGAGCTGCTAAAAGCAGTTCTGGAAGCCCAACGAAAGGCAGCAGCGTTCAAGCCAACCCTGCAAGAGATCGAATCCACTCTAGAAACCATAATCCCAATCGCTGCCGAGATCCAAGAGCTGAGCGAGGTGCTGCACCAGGATAAGAGAGAGATCGAACCATTGATGCAAGTGATCAGGGAAGGTAAAGACCTCGTCTTGAAATGTTCCAGAATTCGATGGTATACATGCTGGAAGAAGCCGAGCTACAAGGACAAATTGGACGCCCTGGAGGGCTCCCTGAAGAGCTACCTTGACTTGGTTCTGCAGCTCCAAATGGCGAGGGACATTAAGAAAAATTTGGTGGAAGTGAAGAAGGTTCAAGTAATGGTTTTGGATCGCGGGAGAAGGGCTGGTCTGGAGGGGTACTTTCTCCCTGCAGCGATTCCGAATCCTGTTGGATTTCAGGTTCCCCTGTGGGAACTGAAGATGGAGTTTTTCAAGGATGACACTTCTCTGCTTGTTTTGTCTGCACCTCCTGGCTGTGGGAAGACCACTCTGGCTACTCTTTTCTGCCATGACAAAGATGTTCAAGGTAATAATGATACACCTTTATGTTCTACTGATGGCTACCCTAGCTACTCTTTGCTGAGGTTCTTACCTTTTAATCTGAACCTGATGAGCTGCTCGACTCTATGCAGAAAGATTCAAGGATAACATCTTCTTTATCAGAGTGTCGAAAAAACAAACAATGGAGAGTGTTGTCCAGAGAATGTACATGCTCAAGGGTCATAGAGATCCTGTGTTTCAAGGTGAAGAAGATGCTCACTACCACCTGGAAAATCTCCTGAAGAGCATGGGTTCGAACCCGATATTGTTAGTTCTGGATGATGTTTGGCCAGAAACAGTTTACATCCTTGACAAGCTAAAGTTTAACATCCCCGGTTTTAAGGTTTTGGTAACTTCTAGGTCGGTTTATCCCAAATACAAATATCAGAAACTAAACCCACTGAACGATAAAGATTCCCGGACACTATTCGACAACTCAGCATTCCTCCCAGACCAACCAAAACCTGACATTCCAAAGGATGTCATCAATCAGGTACTTTCTTATATAGTTTAGTTGAGATAGGTACATTACCTTTATAGTATCCACGGAAAATTTTCGATTTCCTGAATCAATCTGTAATACGAAATGCAGATAGTGAAAGAATGCAAAGGGTTTCCACTAGCCCTTACAGTTGTTGGGAGATCACTGTGTGGAGAGCCCATTGAGGTGTGGAGAACGAGAGCCATGGCGTTATCCGAAGCTGGACCCGTAATGGAAGGTGGTGAGCTGTACAGCGAGCTGTACAGTTGCCTTGAGAAGAGTTTAGATGCATTAGACAAGCAGCCCAAGGTGAAGCAATGCTTCATGGACTTGGCTCTGTTTCCTGAGGACGATTTGATCCCTGCAGCTGCCCTAATTGACATGTGGTCTGAACTCTACAAACTCGACGAAGATGGCCTCCAGGCTGTGGCCAACCTCTATCAGCTCTCTGCAAGGAACCTAGCTGACCTTGTCGTTACAAGGCGAGTAATTTGCTTCACAACTCGATTTCTTAGAACGAAAGTGATTCTTTATGGAGGAAAGAAAAGAACCCGTGCTTAAAGTCACTATCCTTTTTGACAGGACTGATGCGGAGGGCTACAATCATCACTTTGTGACACAGCATGATCTTCTGAGGGAGCTAATCATCTACCAAAGCAGCCTAGAGCCCATCGAACAGAGGGACAGACTAATAGTCGAGATATTCAGGAATCAAGTTCCTGACTGGTGCACTGAAAGAAAACAGCTTAGCATTCACTGCCGCATTCTGTCTATCTCCACAGGTTTTCTTCCATTCCCTAACTCTCTATCTGTCATCTCACAATGCCTGCATTATGTAGATTACACGAGCCATTACGGTGGACACCAATGTTTTGTTCTGCTTTTTCTGCAGATGAGAAGTTCTCCAGCAGCTCGTGGAGAATCCAAGCACCAGAACTCCAAGTCATGGTCCTCAACTTCCGCACAAAAACCTTCACCCTGCCAAAATTCATGACAGGATCAAACGAAAACCCTCTCGAAGTCCTGATACTCAGAAACTATGGTGTCTCCCCAGCTGACGTCAAAAACTTCCCCCAGCTCCTTTCATCCCTCTCAACCCTCAAAAAGATCAGACTCGAACAAATCTCAATCCCTCCATCCCTCTTCACCACTTTCCACTTCCAAACCCTCGAAAAAATCACCATAGTCCTCTGCCGTGTAACCCTAGCTTTCAATCCCTCGTCTTCCCGAATTTCACAACCACTCCCAAACCTTAAAGAGATCAACATCGACTACTGCAAAGATCTCGTCGAATTACCCATCGAAATCTGCAAGCTCACTAACCTGAAGAAGCTGAGGATCACGAACTGCCATAACTTGGCCGCGCTCCCCGATGAGATCGGGTCGCTGAAGAACCTCGAGGAGCTGACGTTGAGTTCGTGTATAGGGTTGTCGGAGCTGCCGGAGGCAATTGGGTATCTGGGGAATTTGAGGAGCCTGGACATATCGGAATGTGCTGACGTCAGGAAGCTGCCGGAAGCCATTGGGGAGCTGGGGAAGAATCTGAAGAGGATTCAGATGATGGGTTGTTCGAAGAACTTCTGGGTTCCCGATTCGGTGCTGAAGCTGGAGAATTTGGAGGAAGTTGGGTGCGATGAAGATACGGCGCCACTGTGGGAGCCTTTTGTTCAGGTGATGAAGAGGTTGAAGGTCAAGGTCCGGAAGGAAGAGATCAACTTGAATTGGCTCCACGGTGGTCGCTTCTGAAAATGTTTACTCTGGGTGGCTCATTAATCAATCATGTATATAGTGTTACATAGCAAAACTATTGTTCCATGATATGATGAAACTCTGTAAAATATATGTCATCAAATGTAAAAACATAAATAACATTGAAATTTTTTCAAACTTCTAGTAGGCACTAGACGTAATGTGGGAGTTGGCCTTTGCTTAGCGCCTAACTTATTTAGGCATCGCTTAAGCCTAACCAGGCATTGAGCAGAATAATAGTGTATATTACAGAATGAATATAAAATAGCAGTTGACAGCACTTGCACCGTTTCGTTTAAATGATTAATAATATATCTATATATAACACTTAATAACATGAAAAGAATATATCATATGTTCATAGAATCATAGTTCAATAGCGAGATTTTTCCAGAAATAGCACTGTTTAAAAAAAAATTCAAAAATAGCACCCAACTCTGAAAAATTCCAAAAATAGCACCATTTTTGTAAAACCGCAACCCGGAGGTGCGTTTTTCGATGAAAACGCCACCCGAGGGCGCGTTTTTCGATGGGGAATTATGCGAAATAAAAAAATCGTGCCGTTTGGATTTGGAGCACAAAGTTACGGTTGTCCAAAGTTTGACGAAATCGGAAAAAAGCTCGTTCGGGGTAGCAAACGACATTTTTTTGTATGAAAGCGAGACCAAACCACCTTTAGTAGTCTTCGGCTTGCAAGATCTCAAAAAGTTATGCGGAATCAAAAAAAAATCGCGACGATCGGATACCCGAACATAAAGATACGTTCGTTTGAAGTTTCCACCTAAATTAGGATTTTTCAAAAAAAAAAAAACAGATCGCACCCTGGGGGTGCGGTTTGCAAAAAAAAAAAAAAAAAAAAAAAGACAGACCGCACCCTGGGGGTGCGGTTTGCAAAACCGCTCCCCACCAGTGCGGTTTTCATCGAAAAACGCACCTCCGGGTTGCGGTTTTACAAAAATGGTGCTAATTTTGGAATTTTTCGGAATTGGGTGCTATTTTTGGGGGGGAAAAAATTAAACAGTGCTATTTCTGGAAAAATCTCTTCAATAGCTTACAAGTTTCGTCTTTAACCTATTGAAAAAGATTGAGAGAGAAGAGTTCTTCGATTTTTCTGTCTAACTCTACCTAATTTTATAGATGATATTAATTTACCTCTTTGTTATTGACTACCTAGATCTTCTTGAAAGTCTAGGCAACAACTAGGCGTCTCTTTGCTTTGGCATTGTGTTCTCGATACCTAATTTGTTGCGGACCCCGAGGCAAAGCATTTTGGAGTTATATAACGCCTAAGCATGCCTATGCGGCGGCTACGCATAAATTTAAGTGTGTGCATTTGAGATTACACACTAAGATAATTTTGTTATCCTTCATTATTAGGCTAAAACTCAACCACCAAGTACCTGTACACGCTACAATTATGGTAGGCCGTGAAACTTTATTCATATCGACTCATTTGTATAATTACGGATGGGTTGTGATCCTATATTATATAATTAAGTTTAACATATCGACTCATTTGTATAATTATGCACGTCTAGACTTGACAGAATGGATTAAACCCTCACTCACTCACTCTCCTAACTCCCAACAAAACCTAGGGGGGAAAAGAATGGAGGGAGGAGTGCACACGATGCCAGAGTCCTCCACGTTTAAAGACTGTGTCCACCTCACTTCGAAGAACTCACTCATCCTCCGGCTGGCATTCTCCGCCAAAATCGGTAGGGCTACTGTTCAGCTACGACACAGGTTCGTGCGCTCTCTCTCTCTCTCTCTCTTCTTTTGCTATTGCAAAAGAAGGTTTTCGTATCCAACTATAATATTCGAATCTTGAACAATGAAAATTACACAATAAATCTATGCCTTTGAAATTACATACTAAGATATTTTTGTTACACTTCATTATGTTTATTGAGTAATAACTAGGGATGGACAATGAGTGAGTAGAGTGATTTTTAGGCTAAAACTCAACCACCAAGTACCTATACACGCTACACTTATGGTGGGTAGTGAAAAATTATCCATATCGACTCATGTATATAATCATGGATGGGTTGTGATCTTATGTTATATAATCATATTCAACTAATGCTGCCAACTAAAATTCAAAATTCGATATATTAAAACTAATTTTAGAGTTGGGTGGAGCAAAATTTATGAAGATAATTAACATTTAATTGAATCAATCACGATCAACATTTTGAGACAGAAAAAACAACAATGTATTTTATAACATATAGATTAGTAATGTACTATATCATGTGGTTTTGGGTGGATTACAATTGATTTTGGGTTGATTATACTTGGATGGATTCAGGTAGGTATAATCAGTATAGTCAAAGGCATGTTTTAACATAGATGCGTTTTGGTGATCTAGAAGCGTAAAATAGCTTTAAAGCGTGTTTTTAACTATATTAGCTATAAAAACTGTGATTTTGCGCATAGGCGTTTTGGTGACCTAAGAACGTAAAAGCATAAGTTTTTAAGCTTTAAAGCACGATTTTGACTACATGTTGCGCCGCCTATTGCCCACTCTCTGAAAGGTCGTGTTAGAACTATACATGTAAGTAAGAATCTATTACCATATATTTTTTTATATTTTTAGTAAGGGTAATGTCTATCTTTTATCCCAAAAAAAATCAGATTCTTTTAAATTATCCAAACTTATCGAAATACTAAGAATTAGTCAAATGTTAACTTCCAGTTAGCAATTTTGTTAGTATTATTGACTTGACAACATGATACTGACTTGGAAGAAACACATGAAGGTCAACATTCCAAAATTTTAGTATTTTAAATAAGAAAAGAGTTGCAAAATTATTAACGATAACGTAAAAATTACTAATGTTTTGATGCATTATGAAAGATTTGGGTAATTAATAGAATTTGAATAGATTTGAATAATATAAAAAAAATCTGAAAAAGATTTAGACAAAAAATAGACATTACCCTTTTAGTAAGGGTGATATAGGTTTAAACCATTGCCTAATAAGGCTAAGGGAGTAAGGGAGTGGTTATAGCCTTATAGGTAAAATCAAAGATTTACTAGGGTTTAATTTGGTCTTTGATTTCGATCGTCCAAATGAGATCCTGACCATTTATGGTCTCCAGAAAAGTCAACCATAAAATGAAAAAAGGTCAAACAAGAGATGAAAAAGTGGTTCAACTAGCGATTTGAAGCCAAATAACCTGTTAAGTAGCTGCAGCAAAAGTCGCAGACAAGCACGTTTACCATATTAAACTTTATACAAGGAAACTTACACCACCTCTAAAATGTTATTATCAGACATAGATTCGTTGCATAGGCATACAAAACAACAACGACAACAACAACAACACATGTATAGGAGAAAACCTGCAAGATACAGAAGGTAGTTGTGATTCCAACAACCCAAATCCTCTAGCTGGATAATAATATAAGAGCCTCTCTGGATCATATGATTCTTCCAACTTAAAAATCAACAACACACCTGCAACTTGCCCCTATCTGCTGCTCTGTTCCCCCCTAATCACTAAAGAACCCAACCCTCTACTATAACTGAATCCCTCGCGAGGACGTGCTGTTTCGATTTATAATGCATAAATGATTTCCCCACTGCTGTCGATATCGAGCTCGGACTCCGAGTCTAAGTCCATGTCGTCGTCCAGGTCAAGGTTGTCGGCCATGTATAGGTTAAGACCCAAGGAACCAGCCGGCGGTATGGTAGCCTCCGAGATTATCTGCATGATCGTGTCGACGCTCTGGAGGGGTTGGTCCGCCTCCTCAAACTGGCTCCCTATTGTCCTTTCATCCATAAGGTCTGCAGGCAGATTCTTCAGAAACCATTCGTGGGTCTTTATGTCCGGGATGGAGATCCGCTGCTCAATGCAACAACTTGATTAGACCTCATAGTCTAAACTTTGGAACCATGCACACTAATCAAAACAAAACAGTAAATGGAACTTACTGCAGTAGGATCGAAAACAAAAATCTTTGCTATGAGGTCGCGACATTCTTGAGAAATCTGAACTGTGTCTGGAATGTTATACTGAACATTCAGGATTCTCTGCACAAAGACCACAAATAAGATTTCGACGTCCAAGTGGAATTTTCATCCAAATAACTCAAACGCCGTTTTGATGGTATTGTCGAAATGGATAGGCTGTGAAGAAAACAAATAGATCACTGCATTGCAAGTGACGGTAGAGGGGAAATTCATTTAAAATAAATACCTGTATGGTCTTCCTGAAATCCTTGGGCTCTTCAGGATCCTCGAAGGGATACCCTCCAAACAGCATCACGTATAAGGTCACCCCACACGACCACACATCCGCAATCTAGAAACCCCGTCATTAACATTTGACATCGCCATTAGCTAATAGAACATAGCTACTCCATGAAGTCAAACTTTAGCAACAAAAGAAGATTGTGTTATATACCTTCCCATCATACTCTTGCCTCAGTAAAACTTCAGGAGCTATATATGCAGGAGTTCCCACCGTCGACTTTGGTTGTGAATGAAGTACCGATGACTGATTCAAACACAACACAGAAAACATTAGGAGGAATGAATAAGGCGATGAAGCACAGCCACCAAAACAACCACAAGAGAAAAGTAAACTACCTTTGAGTAGCCAAAATCACAAATCTTTAATCTTGGAGCAGGGCTTCCATCTAACAATGTGTTCTCCAACTTCAAATCTCGGTGACACACTTGCTTCATCAAGAAATGGTAAGTTAGAGCACAATTTCAACTCATCATCATAAGCTCGAGTTCATAACACCACAAATCATGAGAAAAAAGGCCCAAGTACCATAGCATGGCAATAGCTAACACCAGAGATCAGTTGCTGGAAGAAAAACCGAGCCTGAAACAGAGAAAACAAAAACAGAATCAAGACACTATAACCAAATAAGGGAAAGGGAGCAGAATTAAGATTAGGGAAAGAACAGAAAGAGAACAACACAAACCTCATCCTCACCAAAACGCCCAGCACTACATATTCGCTCAAACAGCTCCCCTCCTGATGCATACTCCATCACGATCGCCAGATGAGTAGGCGTCAGGATTACCT